GCTTATGTCGGGTTTGTTTGCTTGGATCGCAGCACAATCGATGAAGGTGTTCTTGAATTTTTGTGTGGAGCGAAAATGGGACTTGAGGATTTTGTTTGCTTCTGGAGGGATGCCTTCGTCGCATTCGGCTTTGTGTACTGCTTTGACTACTTCAGTGGCTATATGTCATGGAGTAGCAGACTCTTTATTTCCTGTGTGTTTGGGGTTTACTTTGATTGTAATGTATGATGCTATCGGGGTTCGAAGGCATGCTGGCATGCAAGCTGAGGTAATTGTTTTTATAGTTTGTAGATACAATTTATTGGAATATACTTTTTTAACTGCCAAAACTGCTTGATTTTGGAAGGAAGTATTGCTTCTCCACTGAATGTACATGCTTTTTTTTTATTTTTTATCCGTATAAGTTTATATATTTGCAAATGAAAGAAAGTTAAAATACACACCTTTGCAGTTGTGGAAGTATATTACTGTTGATGGTGATGGGACATTTTTGGAGGAAGACAGATCGACGACATGTGTCCTCGACATCATTATGTTCCCCAGGTATAGCCACGTGTCCTTGGTAACATTTGTCCCCATCTGTCAAGACAATAATGCTCGGAGCCAAGGGATCCCCCAATCGGCGTGATAAACACATATGTTCTCGGCTTGGTGAAAACCCTTGACCCCGAGACAAATATTCCTTGGTGGCGAGGTGTTCCTTCTGTACGCTATATTCTACTTCTCCTCTGTTTCTACAAAAGCTAATGATTGACAGATGGCTAGCTTAGGCCAAACTAAGCTAATCATCTTAAAGACGCTCTGCTCAATGGTGTTAGGAGGCGCAGGAATGCAGAACATATAACCAAGAAGGGGTAGACGCGTGGAATTTGATATCGAATCAGTAGCAAAAAGACCTGGGTACTCTTGCTACACATGACTGGAGCAAATAAGCATTTAATGAATCCTCCTCCTGATGAGACAACAATTAAGCATGGGGGACGAGAAGTGAAGTGCATTAAAGGCCCCCATACCTGGGCATTTAATACATCCTCGCTGAGAAAGGGGAATTGAATGTTCGGTAGACCGAGGAGTGAGTTTTAAATGCTCGGCATCCTGATCAGTTAAAGCAAAGCCCATTCCCCATAAAAGTGAAAGGCACATTGCCCCATCTGTGACAAATACCTGCTGGATGGACTATCAGCAATCATGAGCTTTTTGAAGGTATAAATAGTTCTAAAAAACGCATTGTAAAGGTACGCAAGAACTTCTGAAAATAACCACAGTGCTTTGTTCTTTGATAGTCGGAGGAGATACGTCGGAGAGCACTTCGACACCTTTCTAACCTGTTTTTCTGTGTTATAGGATCCCCCCACAGTCTTCCAGGACCGGTCAGGCGACCTACCAAACAATTCATCACTAGTCTTTAGGACTCCTTTGTCCCTTTCAACCTACTTCTTGTTACCGAAACCCACTTTTGGATGGGTCAAATCTCTGCCAGAGGCAATCAGAAATTCTGAAAGCAAACCTTCTGTTTCGCCGGAATTACTGTCTTATCAAACCACAGTTCATCATGGGAGAGATCTGTTCCTACTTCTACTGTTGTGCGAAAATCAGCACGCATAATCTGGCGCCATCTGTGGGAAACGATTAGTTTTTTCAAAGAACAGTAACCATGGTGAATACTTGATAGAAAGGAAGGGGTCCCCAGTAGAAGAACCTCGATTTACAAGCTCCTTCTAGTTTTAGAACGAACGATCAAGTTGATGGTGTCAACAGAAATATCTCTATTCAATCGAGAGGGCATACCCCGCCAAACCAGTATAGGCATCAGATCAGGAGGATCTCCCCCATTGGCCTGTCAACTAGCAAAAATGATCGAGGAGAAGTTTGGGGGTCGATTACGACAGTTAGAAGAGGACAATGTGAACGTCCTCAACCGTCTTAATGAATTTGTAACTTTCGTCGGAGGATCCAAGGACTCGTTCCGTTCCCGTGAACCCTCCATCAGGGAAGTGGAAACATAAGACTTGCGGAATCACCTGAACAATAAAGCAGAAAGTTCCAAGGCTCCAAAGCGTCCGAGAGCCAAAATGTATCCCCCAGGTGTCTAGGCCAAGAAGGCAAGACCTTTAGCTTGGGACGACCTCCGTCGGGGACTATCCGGGCAAGGGGGCGTGGAGGAGTCCAAGGGATCAACCCTCTCCACTCGACACCCAGGAAGGAGGTACCCCGTTAGCCCGCACAGGGACCTTAGAAGGTTTCTCCCGAGTTGGAAACCAACCTCAGAGCTCGGTTGGAGGCCAAGAGGAGTAAGGCCATTCAGGAGGAGGACATTGATGACGAGACCATACAATCCCCTTTTACCAGGGACATTCGGGAGATAGAGGTGCCAAAGAAGTTTATAGTGCTGAGGTTCAAAGTTTATGATGGACGATCTGATCTCGAAGCTCATCTCAAACAGTACATGCAGATGATGTCCTTTTACCATTAATATAAAAATTATCATTCTTTTTTTTTTTTTCTCTCTTTTTCACTAGGGTGATATTAAAAGATGAAAATGGGTAATAATTTGGCGAAAATGCTAAATACCCCCCAAAAAAAAAGTCAAAACACACTCACATGTCTTACCCTATTTTATTTGAATTGTTTTTTCTACAATGTCAAATTCATGTTGACCTATCAAAAAATAATTCTTAAAAAAATATACATATTCTTTTATAAATATATATATCGTTATTTCAAAATTTTATAAATGTACACTGTAATTCAAGATAAAGCTTATTTGTAAGACAGATATTCAATAAAATAAATTTATGAGAAAGATATTTGAGATATAGTATCTATTATTTTGTTCACCTTCCTTGCACGATTGAAGGAAACTCACAACCTCCCACCATTGTCATTTATTCCTTGTTTGGCCTTCTTTTGGTGTACTTTCACTCCATAATCTCTTTTTAAAATTTTGGATGAAGGGAATTTTTTTTAGCTCAAAATACACTTAACGGTCAAATGAGTTCAAAGTACACTTAGTGGTGAAATGCTATAGTGGCCAGTATTTGAATTCAAGAGAGTAATCGACGTAAACTTGAAAAAAAAAAAATCAAGTACACAATTACTAAAAATAATTGTGTAGACTACTAAAAAAGTGTGTGAAGGATAACTTCCCAAAATTCATTGCAAAACAACGAATTAATAAAAAACACAATTCCAACTGTGAGATTCTAATGTCGGTTTCAAAATTGTAAAATTCAAATAGTCCAATGTTGAGATTCTAATGTCGGGTTCAAAACTATAAAAATTCAAATAAAAAACTATAGCAATCATCAAATTTAAGGTAAATAATCAATAATTTATTGGGGGTAATTAGTTTCAAGAGAAAATATAAGTAAGCTACAGCCTTTACTGGTGAAATTTTAATTGATAATGTGAAGAGTTTGCAAAAGTTATCTACTGCCTCAAAGATTCACCTTTTTAAATAATGAAATCATTTTGTAATTTTCAATTCCATTTCTTTTCGAACATTCATCTTTAAGTTGTGTTAAAGGGACATACAAATAGAGTCCAGTTATGGGAAACAACAAACGAAGACATTTTAAACATATCATCTTAGCTCAAACACAAGAAGGACTAACATGTAGAGCATTCAGTTGAAAGATTTTTCAATATTTAGGTTGTGTTTGGGGAAAAAATCCTAACACATATGCATTCAAACAAAACCAGAGTTAGGTCTCAAGTTTTTGGGACCATAGCTACACATTACTCGAATTGGGCTTGGACTCATGTGGTTGAACGTGATTTAAACTCGATTTGAACCAAAACTTAAAATCGAAAATTCAGTCAAAGTTGCATCTAGAATGAACAATACTCTAGCATTTCCTCATCTTCATCCCGCCAACATAATTTCTTACTACTCAAACTAGGAAAAATTGGGCTCACTTTGCAAAGAAAAATCCTACTGTAGTAATCATTTACACACATCCAACACTCTACCAATTGCTCTATCACAAGATAATTATTAATTATATTTCAACACAATATTTCTAAATATGTAAGTGTTCAAAATTCTCAAGTTATCGAGCACTCACCATTAAGAATGTTCAATGGATTTGCGACTGAGGTCCTTGGAATTGCCTTTAGTTATCATCCATAGGAAAATATAATACTTTTTAAACAAATAAAATATTAATTTCAACCTACATAAAAAAAGACTATCGTGCGTACTAACTTAAATAAAATCACTTGCACTCAAATCCGAAAAATAAAATTATAAATCCAAAAGAACAATGAAAAAAACTGTAGAAATGGTGATAAATTTAAAATTTTGGATTTGTCGCGAAGAAATTAAGATATAAAATTGAAGGATTCGGGTGTAGTTGAAAATTTGGGGCTGATAGTGAAAGATTTGGATTAGGGTGGTTTGAGTGGTGATTATAAAGGTAAAGGGTGGAGAAGAGGGAGAAAGAAAAGGAGACATACCTCACTAGTGGTGCTAGTGATCGGTTGTTGCTGTAGTTGTTGGAGTCGATGACTATTATTGTTTTGTTTGCATCGATGACAATTGTGGTAGATGAAGGGAAGGGGAGATGACACACCAAATAAGACATAGGTGGGGAAAGAGTGAGAGAAAGGGGAGGGAGGGGGGAAGTCTGAATCGCATCAAATGAGCGTCTTATTGAATTTTGACCAGGAGTGTCGTATAAGATTCTAAAAAATTTATACGCATTTTTTTTCCTAAGAATTATTTTGGTTTCAAAAAACTCAATATAATTATAGAATTCAAATGTTGTTTTATTTTCTTATATTAGGAATAATTCGAGTCTTACAAAAAGTAGAAGCGATGTTGATGGTCATTGAATGAATCTATTTGAGATCGTAAAATAAATTTATTAAATATTATTTATTTTATATTATAGATAGATAGAGAAAAAATTATATAATTATTATAAATAATTTTATTTGACAATCTAACGATGCAAAAATAAATCCAAAATTTTTTATTCCTTTTAGTGGAGTTACAGGCATACCAAATTACCAATAGACCACAAGATCTCTGATATGAAGGGTACTCCCACCTATAAAAAAGTCCTAGCTGGTCGACCATCTCTGTTCTCCAAAAACTTAATTAAAAAAAAAACCATCTCGAATCTCGAACGTCTCACGATATCTCTCCTCTTCCGCAGCTTCAATGCAGATTCATCTCAAACACAGAGCTTCGTTCTCATGGACTCTGTAATTATTGTAAATCCATCGTACAGAGCTTTCAAATTTAATCTCTCCAACCCAAGCACTAATTACTTTTGTAACAATTCCTTTTATTTTTTCAAATTCAATAATTCAAAGAGACCCAAAACCTCTTCAATTTCTGTTTCATACACTCATCATTCAAATCCCCGAAAACCCAATTCACAATGGGGGAAATACAGCTTACCCAACAAATCCTTTCCAATCCTAGTTTCAATTTTACGGAGCTTCAAATTTCTGGCTCAGAAAACTTCAAAATACAAATGGGTCACCGTTCTTCGAGGTTATATTTGCTCAGAGACTATACCATTTCATGGTAAATATCTACAAAGTGGAGGATTTGGGATGGCAGTTTTTAGTGTGACATCGACGACAAAGGTCCGGATTAGCCCATTCGTGGCCACATTGGTTGCGAATCCGACGCTTATGTCGGGTTTGTTTGCTTGGATCGCAGCACAATCGATGAAGGTGTTCTTGAATTTTTGTGTGGAGCGAAAATGGGACTTGAGGATTTTGTTTGCGTCTGGAGGGATGCCTTCGTCGCATTCGGCTTTGTGTACTGCTTTGACTACTTCAGTGGCTATATGTCATGGAGTAGCAGACTCTTTATTTCCTGTGTGTTTGGGGTTTACTTTGATTGTAATGTATGATGCTATCGGGGTTCGAAGGCATGCTGGCATGCAAGCTGAGGTAATTGTTTTTATAGTTTGTAGATAGAATTTATTGGAATATACTTTTTTAACTGCCAAAACTGCTTGATTTTGGAAGGAAGTATTGCTTCTCCACTGAATGTACATGCTTTTTTTTTATTTTTTATCCGTATAAGTTTATATATTTGCAAATGAAAGAAAGTTAAAATACACACCTCTGCAGTTGTGGAAGTATATTACTGTTGATGGTGATGGGACATTTTTGGAGGAAGACAGATCGACGACATGTGTCCTCGACATCATTATGTTCCCCAGTCAGGTATGACCACGTGTCCTTGGTAACATTTATCCCCATCTGTCAAGACAATAATGCTCGGAGCCAAGGGATCCCCCAATCGGCGTGATAAACACATATGTTCTCGGCTTGGTGAAAACCCTTGACCCCTAGACAAATATTCCTTGGTGGTGAGGTGTTCCTTCTGTACGCTATATTCTACCTCTCCTCTGTTTCTACAAAAGCTAATGATTGACAGATGGCTAGCTTAGGCCAAACTAAGCTAATCATCTTGAAGACGTTCTGCTCAATGGTGTCAGGAGGCGCAGGAATGCAGAACATGTAACCAAGAAGGGGTAGACGCGTGGAATTTGATATCGAATCAGTAGCAAAAAGACCTGGGTACTCTTGCTGACACATGATTGGAGCAAATAAGCATTTAATGAATCCTCCTCCTGATGAGACAACAATTAAGCATGGGGGACGAGAAGTGAAGTGCATTAAAGGCCCCCATACCTGGGCATTTAATACATCCTCGCTGAGAAAGGGGAATTGAATGTTCGGTAGACCGAGGAGTGAGTTTTAAATGCTCGGCATCCTGATCAGTTAAAGCAAAGCCCATTCCCCATAAAAGTGAAAGGCACACTGCCCCATCTGTGACAAATACCTGCTGGATGGACTATCAGCAATCATGAGCTTTTTGAAGGTATAAATAGTTCTAAAAAATGCATTGTAAAGGTACGCAAGAACTTCTGAAAATAACCACAGTGCTTTGCTCTTTGATAGTCGGAGGAGATACGTCGGAGAGCACTTCGACACCCTTCTAACCTGTTTTTCTGTGTTATAGGATCCCCCCACAGTCTTCCAGGACCGGTCAGGCGACCTACCAAACAATTCATCACTAGTCTTTAGGACCCCTTTGTCCCTTTCAACCTATTTCTTGTTACCGAAACCCACTTTTGGATGGGTCAAATCTCTGCCAGAGGCAATCAGAAATTCTGAAAGCAAACCTTCTGTTTCACCGGAATTACTGTCTTATCAAACCACAGTTCATCATGAGAGAGATCTGTTCCTATTTCTACTGTTGTGCAAAAATCAGCACGCATAATCTGGCGCCGTCTGTGGGAAACGATTAGTTTTTTCAAAGAACAGTAACCATGGTGAATACTTGACAGAAAGGAAAGGGTCCCCAGTAGAAGAACCTCGATTTACAAGCTCCTTCTAGTTTCAGAACGAAGGATCAAGTTGATGGTGTCAACAGAAATATCTCTATTCAATCGAGAGGGCATACCCGCCAAACCAGTATGGGCATCAGATCAGAAAGATCTCCCCATTGGCCTGTCAACTAGCAAAAATGATCGAGGAGAAGTTTGGGGGTCGATTACGATAGTTAGAAGAGGACAATGTGAACGTCCTCAATCGTCTTAATGAATTTGTAACTTTCGTCGGAGGATCCAAGGACTCGTTCCGTTCCCGTGAACCCTCCATCAGGGAAGTGGAAACATAAGACTTGCGGAATCACCTGAACAATAAAACAGAAAGTTCCAAGGCTCCAAAGCGTCCGAGAGCCAAAATGTATCCCCCAGGTGTCTAGGCCAAGAAGGCAAGACCTTTAGCTTGGGACGACCTCCGTCGGGGACTATCCGGGCAAGGGGGCGTGGAGGAGTCCAAGGGATCAACCCTCTCCACTCGACACCCAGGAAGGAGGTACCCCGTTAGCCCGCACAGGGACCTTAGAAGGTTTCTCCCGAGTTGGAAACCGACCTTAGAGCTCGGTTGGAGGCCAAGAGGAGTAAGGCCATTCAAGAGGAGGACATTGATGACGAGACCATACAATCCCCTTTTACCAGGGACATTCGGGAGATGAAGGTGCCAAAGAAGTTTATAGTGCTGAGGTTCAAAGTTTATGACGGACGATCTGATCTCGAAGCTCATCCCAAACAGTACATGCAGATGATGTCCTTTTACCATTTAGACCATCAACTCTTGTGCCAGGTGTTCTCCATGAGTTTGGGAGACTCCGCTATGAAGTGGTTCGAAACTCTCCCTCCTAATTGCATCGGATCATAGAAGGAGTTAACCAAGCAGTTCTCCGCTCGGTTTGTTACAGGAAGTAAGCGACCCAAGGATGTTGGGTCCTTACTAATGCTCAAGCGGAAGGAAACCAATATGCCACGCGTTATTGGGAGAAGGTCAATAAGGTGGAGGGATGCTTAGAAGTCATGGCAGCCGCCTCTTTTAGGCTTGGCCTGGCAAGAGATACAGATGTGTACCGGTCATTAATCAAGAAGATTCCATCAGACATGGTTAAATTGATGGCCCGGATAAATAAATATTCTCAGATCGAGGATGAAATGGAAAGGGGCAGAGGTAGGGCCCCCACCCCCAAGAAGAAAGACGGAGAGAAATAAGACACCTCCTGGAAGGGATTGATACATTCCTCCGTAAGCTCTTTAAAAGAAGTCCACACCGTGTTTAAGGAGCCTATTTACAAGCTGCTCCAAAAGATTCGGGGTGAGCCGTTCTTCAAATGGCCACCTAAAATGCAGAGTGATTCGTCCACCCGGAATTAGAAGGTCAGGTGCTCCTATCATCAAGATGTCAGGCATCGTATCGAAAATTGTTGGGTGTACAAATATTTCTAGAAAAGTTGGTCTAGGATGGGCACCTCAAGGAATACATTGAGCCAAAATCTGAAGAGGTTCGGGCCCCCAATAACCCGGCTGTTATCCAGGATAACGTAATTGACGTGATCCACGTATGTCCACTAGGGCAACCAATATCCAGGCACCTTGAGTCCGATCTCAAAAGGGTGGCGTTCACAAGGAAGGTAGCTGAAGAAGAAGGGGGCCAGCCTAGTAAGAGGGCTCGGATGGGAGAGCCCAACATTGCATTCTCTGACATGGATCTTGCAGGCATAGTTACCCCCGATAACGACGCCTTAATATTAACACTGAAGATCGGCAACTTCGATGTTAAGAGAGTATTGGTAGACTCTGGGAGTTCTTCTGAAGTAATGTACTCCGAAACCTTGAAACGAATGAGACTTGGTCCTAAAGATCTCACCAAAGTCAGGACTCCCCTCATTGGATTTAACGGTTCATTTGCCCTACCGATGGGTAAAATCATGTTGCCAGTTATCACTGGGCCTGTCACTATCAACACGAAATTTGTTGTGATCGACATGGACTCGCCTTACAACATTATCATGGGGGTGAGCCTGGTTGCACGCACTAGGGGCAGTGCATTCCACTTATCATTAGAAGCTAAAGTTTCCAACCCCGGAAGGGGTGAGGGAGATCCGAGGGGATCAAGCGTCTGCCAAGAACTGTTTCTATTCGGCTGTTAAAGTAGGAGTTTCCGTCTAGGAGAAGGGGCGGGCCCCGGAGAAAATCTTGGACAAATAACAATTATAGTCCGGACGTCCTGGAGTAGATGACCCCCGGACGGATCCGGCCGAACGATTGGTGGAAGACCTTCGAAAAGTGCTCTTAATAGAAAGAGAGAAGGGAAGGTACTTCCTGATTGGCTCCACCATGCCTCCAGCCGAACAAGTCGAGATGATAAATTTTCTAAAATAAAATGCAGACGTATTCGTTAGAATGTGATAGAGATGAAAGGGGTGGACCCCAAAGCGATAACCCATAAACTTCATGTTGATCCTACACACAAGTCGGTTAAGCAAAAGTCATGGTGCATGGCGCCGCATCATGCCCAAGCAGTAAACGAGGAAGTTAATAAATTCCTAGAGGTCAACACCATTCTAGAGGTCCAGTTCCCGGAATGGTTGTCAAATACAGTCTGCGCGACGAAAAAAGAGAGAAAATGACGTGTTTGCATGGACTTCACGGATCTAAACAAAGCCTGCCCCAAACACGACTTCCCACTCCCAAAGGTAGATCAACTAGTAGAAGCCACTACAAGGCATCAGCGCATGATCTTCCTGGACACCAGGGCAGGCTACCATCAAATCTCCCTCCATCTGCCTGATCAAGAAAAGACTGCATTCGTCACTCTAAGGGGAGTTTATTGCTACAAAGTCATGTCGTTCGGCCTGAAAAACGCCAGAGCTACCTATCAAAAACTTATAAATCGGATGTTCAAACGACAAATCGGCGACACCATGGAGGTCTATATCGACAATATGTTGGTCAAGAGTAGAATGAGTTGTGACCACCTAGCGGACCTAGCTGATACGTTCTCCACTCTCTGAGAATATGAGTTAAAGCTAAACGCGGCAAAGTGCGTTTTCGGAGTAGAGTCGGGGAAATTCCTCGGTTACTTGGTGAGTCGACGTGGGGTCGAAGCCAACCTAGATCAAATTTGAGCGCTCCTGGACATCCGGAGTCCCCGAACTATCCGAGAAGTCCAGAAGCTTGCAGGGATGTTGGCAGCACTCAATCCTTTCATCTTGCGATCCTCGGACAAGTGCAAACCCTTATTTGGAGCGATGGATATTTTTTGGCAAAAAAGACTTCGGCTAAAATTCTTCAATCAGGTTTTTACTGGTCATCTCTTATCAAAGATTGTGTTTCGTTTTGTAAGGGATGCGACAGATGCCAACGGCTGGGTAGTGTGACCCAAAAAAAATATGATGCCCCTTTCACTAGTACTTGTCATAGAAATATTCGACTGTTGGGGCATCAACTTCATGGGTGCTTTCCCTATGTCATTTGGTTATTTGTACATCCTCTTGGCAGTGGACTATGTGTCCAAATGGGTAGAAGCTATCTCGACCAAGATTAATGACCACCGGGTCGTAGTCAAGTTTTTCAAGGAGAATATCTTTTCAA